ATTTTAAAGTGAATTGTGATGATTTTTAAATTGTTACCTATATTTTACACACTTACCAATATAATCCACTCGAAAACTAAAGTTGATCAAAAATACATTTCCAGTAAAACGCAGACTAAATTGTTATTTTTAAGTTTTGCAATTAACTCTAATATTTAGAGGACACAGGGCGGTGACTGCTTGCGCTGCCGATCTCCACGACTGAACTTACAGCAATTAGGTATCCTAAGTATAGACGGTTTTTTTTCTTATAGGTATCTACACATTTTTTCTTATGGCAATACACAACACAACAAACTAGAAAGCATTAGCTGGCTAATAGCTAATAATATATATTACTATATAATGCATCCATAACACTATAACAGAAACTAAATAACACCCAATAAATAAGTTATAATAACAGTACCTAATATCAATTATTCTAATCAAACAATCAACCTCAGTGGATGATAAAATTTTGAATACCTATATTTTATTGTTAAATGTTGATTTTATGATTAAAGTAAAAATTAGTTTATCTTATACTAATATATGTATTATATTGCTACTGGTAAGATATGTGTTTTAGCATGTAAGTTAATAGTAATATTGTAGTATTTTTCAAATAGCAAATTTATATTTAAAGTAGGCCAAGTGATTATTAATTGAAAATTACATCTAATAACAACTATAGGTATCTGAAATCTGTCAATACAAATCTCACTAATACATTATAATATTATATCATTTTTGAGGAAACAATAAACTCCATAAAAATATGTCAATAAATATTTACCAGCGCTTTAAAGAACTAAAAAAAATGACAGCCCTCAATATGGTACACCATAGCCTCCTGCAACAAATATGTGACCGCTAGTGGGCGGCTACAAAGTTATTTTTTTGGGATAGTCCTAAATTCCAATCAGTCACTGAAAGGACGTCTCACCCGCATGTATTATTGTCTCTCAGTTTTACAGTTATTATTATAGATTATTAATCAAAAATAATTTTTACAAATTCTTTGGTCATTCTTTAATGAATTTATAAACTAGTTTTCACTCCTTCGATGTCTTAGTAAAACTAAAATAAAAATTTCTCAATTTTAAGTTGCAATTATTACTAAGAATATATTACAAGTTGATACCTATTTTTGGAAATAAAATAAGATACCTATTATCCAAAATAAAAATCTTAGTCGACTTGTGCTGACTGTCAAATGTTTTGGTTGTTTTATTGTTAGAAATAACAAGATGTATAATTTGACTCTGCTAGGAAAAAATTGAACCAAGTACATAAAATATTGTATCTTGATTTTAGTGTACCTACCTCAGTTCATGACAAATCTGCGCATCGGTCTACCTTTGCTTTGTAAATTTATTCAACCTAGATTGGCAATCCATCATTAGATTGGATATAGAATTTGGTATAATTTTAAACGTAGTTCAAAGTGTCTTCAAACTATACTCTATACATTTTCCTCATATATCTAAGAACAATTTCTGAAACTGTCGTCAGAATTGGTCTATTAGTTTTTGTGTCTATGAGCTATTGTAGCTTCACCAAATTGCCTTTTGTTGTATACATACTAATATACCTATATTTAAATAACAAAAAATTAATTATATATTATTTTCTTTTATTTAAAAAAAAACCATAGGTATCATAGCAACGCATCATTGTGGATCGGCTATTATATATACTTAGGTATATACTATACTAGTATATAGTTTATACAAACTTTTTTTTTAAATTGTACTTATCATATCTAACATCAATGAAAACCCTATATCTATGTAAATATAAACAAAAAAAAAATTTTTATTTATGTGAGCTAAAGTGGAATCTTTGTGTAACTGTGTGAGCCACCCTGCATTTATACCCACTTACAGGAGTTCAAAAATAAAGCAAAGAACACTACCCGAATCTCAAGGTATATTTGGTGTCAATTAGTTCAGTACTTTCAAAGTTTCAAACAATCTTTCTATCGTTTTCTATTTTGCTTCAGTTGAAATATGTTGGTAATATAAATACAAACATATGCAATGATTCATTTTTATGATTTTTCACTTCTTTGAAATTCTGCAGTCTCGACTTTGGACAGATTTTTTATGTAATCATAGAAGAACTGGAGATAGATTCAACTAATATTTAAAAGACGACTTAAGTTCAAGTTAAATTGTCTTATGCGTTTACATAAAAAATGTGCGCAGAATTAAGAAAGAAAATCATAAAAATAAATATTGTACCTCATTGTGTTAATAAGCATTTCATAGTAATATAATCTGTAATCGACAGCAACTGCTCTTAAATAAACAAAACAATTTTCTTGAGCCGAAACTAAATTAATGTGTGAGCCACATTTTAGCAACCTATATAGGGGTTGAAAAATTAAGCTATAATCAAACATTCCCTGCTGTCTTTTTGAATCTACTGATATAACTTTTATTGAAAAGCGTCCAATAGTTGTTGAGTCCACATAGGACAAACAAAGAAACATTCATTTTTATATTAATATATACTAGCTGTTCTGCCCGACGTTGTCCATGCCAAAGATTGAAAAAATATAAAAATGTGAAAAAAATGTGTATGACATGGTTTTACTAATTATAATATTATATATAGGTAATGTTACATGTGACCTATAGCAACCATTTGAATAAACAAAAAGAATATTGTTTTTCTGAGAGCTGAAAAAAATGCATGTGCGATCTACCCTTTTGCCACCTATAGGGGTTAAAATAGGCCATGTTCTCCGCGATATACTCTATAATTTTGAAAAAAAGCTGACGTAATCGACAGAGTAGTCTTTGAGATCAGCTGTTACAAATAAAGTAGGTTTCACGTTTATACATAGTTACATAAAATTATAGAAGGTAGAAGATTATCACCAAAACAATATTACAGTACCAATAATATTGTACCATTCCAACTATAAGTACTGCTATATAATTCAGTTGTATATGTACCTACTCCCAAGACCCAATACCCGCATCATAAATGATTTTATTGTTCAATGGTTTATGCTCTTTAGGACGCAACGATAACGATTTCTGTAAACAAAAAATAATAGGTTTAGTGAGTTATAACCACTTGTAACGATTACCAATATAAGTAGGTAGTAGGTACACACACTCACAACATAATGTTATTATATATTTTAATTTTCATGATTGTGTAAACGGAGAGGTACATTGAAGAACGGATAACGTTGTTTTTCCTAGATAAAACGATCTCGTTCCATTCCTCGTCGTTTTTTTTTTTTACAAAATGGAAAGAACGCCCCAGCGTTGTTTGTATTTTGTCGATAGTGTTTAATTATTGGCGTTGAAACAGAAAAACGACATCGTAATAAAAATATTACAATTTGTACCTACAACGCCACAACCACTCGAAGGAGGAGCCACATATATTTATGCGCATTAATATAATATAGCGTCGTAGCATCGAAATCGGTACAAGCCAGGTACAAGCCGGATACCAGCTATCCCCGCCTGGTACCACACCGCATTGGGCCAGTACAAAAACACCACTGCGGTAAACGAAACTACGTCGCAGTTCAAACACAAACACGACACGTGTTGCGTTCGAACACGCTCCGCCCATGTCGGCTACGATTTGCCGCGCTACTAACACATTTTATATTTGTTCTCGCAGCTGCGGTACTCGACGCACGACTCGTCAGTATTGTACTGACAAAACCACTGCGACTCACCGGTGTTCGGTCCGCCTTGTTGGTACCTATAATCGTATCGCATGATACAACCGGATGGTTAGAGTAATTATGTCGCCGCCAATTGAAATGCCCGCTCAATCATATGTTAGTGCGTCGTTACGAATCACGATCATGGGCTATGTTATTCGTAGGCAGTTGGTACCTATCACGGTACATACCTTTGCGTTGTATTGATATTTGATAACGTTCCCTAAGGTGGGGAATTAAGAGGAATGTGCTTGCGGCAATTATCACGCGGCGAGTCGATTCGAAATATTTCGATTAACTCGTCGACGGGAATGAAATAATTAATATTCATTTTTCTTTTAGTTATTAATTAAACAGTCCGCGGCATCAGCTGAGGTCACTGAACGTAATCCAGAAATTCGTTACACGTAATCGGTGACTATTTCCCCTTAAAATTACGATCGGTGCAAAAAAAAAAGGAATTCGTTTCAACTAACCGGTCACTCATTTTTGTGACCAACTCCAGTAAACCATGACTTGAGTCATGCAGTAAACGGTTACAATTGATAACCCCTTCCATAATTTTTACCTCTCCTAATTAATGGCACATATTACCAAACAATGTACCTATACCTACATCGAATGATAAGAATAAAGATTTGACGTAAAGATAATTATTTTGGTACAGGAGGGGATTAGCTATTATAATGAAACGAATATCTGGTGGAAGGTAACTTACCACCGGTTAATTTTTAATAATAATAATAATTTAAATGCTTTGTAGTTACCGTCCACTATGAATTTGTCACCGATCTAATCTAACAATCACCATGACAATATATATATATATTGTCATGACAATCACTTTAACAAACTGAATTTTTAAAGTACCTACAATTTTTAGTGTAAAACAATAAATTCAAAGACTTAATAGTTCTAATTTAGGTAAGTATTTGACAACATAATAGTAGATAATAGTTGATACTATATAGTTAGGTACAGGTCTTGATGTTATTATTGCTTAACAGGAACTCATTATAGTTTATTGAATGAACTGAATGAGCATGGAGAGTTGGATATGTTATTAAGTCCAGAGTTGAGTATTTCGACTGTGTGAAAATTTTTTCTCTGCTTGTCGTATAATGTACAAAATTGTAGAACTAAGCAATATTGTCGTATCATCAAAAATTACGTCAATCATCAGTCGATTGTCGATAAGCGCCGTTATCATATTCGGGTAGCGGTTCGTTGCGTTTGCCACCGCGACGTCGGTGTTTCTGGGCTACGCGCCCGCGCCTACCACCCTGCTACACTACAACTGTCTACGACCAATAACCGTCCGCGGCTCACATTGATAGTGACATCCGATTTTGCGCTCATCTGTCGAGTCCTTTTCGCTAGTCGGTACGTCCTGCGCCCCGTGCTACGACGCAAAAACCTGGGCTCAGACAGTCAAACAACAGACGCACAGTGGCTCGCAGTGACCTGTACGCCATCGTTGCTAGCCCTTTCCGTCCGGTTTGTTTATTCACTAAAGAAACAACACCGCTGCATCGTTAGCTGTCTACGATGACTGTCTTAACGTTCCCGTCGGTCGGCGGCAAGTCGGACAAAGCACCGTTGATCGGTGACGAAGAAGTTCATCATGGTCAGACCCAGCCTCCGCCACCATATCATCCCAAATTCATGGAGACTGGCGAAGGTGGTTTGCCGAACACCAAAAACAACAATAACGGCCGTGCCAGAGTGGTCGGCGCATGCTTACACCACTCAGCCGAGTACAGACGGTTGGTGCACAAGATGGGCAAGATCACAGTGATCATGCTGGCGTTCATACTGGTCCTTTATTTCTCCATCGACACGCTATGCAAGGCTTACGTTCAGGACATACAACACAAGCAGCAACAGGAGACCGCTGAAGACGCCGCCGTTCCTTGCAAATCTTACTCGTCTTATGCAGACGCTGAGAGCGATATGCTGTTATTGCCAGAGTTATTGCCGTCGTCTCCACCGCCAAGTTCCAAAAACTTGGTCATCTCGATGGTCATCAACCCATCAGAGGGAATCATTAAAAAGGTGCCGCAGATCGTCATAAACAAATCGGCTCGTTTCTTGCATGACTTTGACGTCAACGTTACCGGCATCGTTGACTTTGAGAACCAACGCTGTTACGTTATGCCGCTGCTTCGCAATTCTGTTGAGCCGCCTGAGTCCCTGTTGGATATGTTGGTTAAAATGTCATCTGGATACTATTCTATGGACATTAATAAAATTCTCAGTAACTTTCGCATGGTCAAACCAGCCATCAACAATCTCTCTGACTATGGCATGTACATTTCTAAAGACTGTGCTGACTATCCTACATTCAAACTAGAAAAAGACATTACAACCGATTCCCCATTAGAAGTCAACTAATTTTCACTTTCATCGAGGCACTTTAACAACCAAATATAACACCCAATATAATACAATACTTAAATATTCTTCCTTTATATTTAAAAAAACAGATGTGCGTGTTGACCACTCAGCTGTGGACTATTAATTCTGTTACCAATTTTGACTAAGTTCCTTAGCTGTGTTGTTCCTATTATTTTGTGTTCTCAATCTTCAATTGTCGAAAGTGCATACATTTTTTCACAGCTAGTGATTAAGACAAGTTTTTTTACCACTGAATGTACCTAATCACATGTTTTACTTTTTGTACACAATTATGTACCCAGATTAAGCGATTTTTAAATGTTTATCAGCATCCATTCAATAACAATCTATTTTATAATATTTTACTTTACTATCCTGTCAACATTTATAGTATTTAATAGTGTTAAAACATACATTATGTATACATTAAGATAGTAGATTCATTTTTTTTAGTCTTCGTTCGCATGATTATAAACTGGCCGTAATTTTCTTGTTGAGTCAACAAATGTTAATTATACTGAAATTATTAACAAATATAACATAATATTAAATTACAAAATATAGTTATAGTGATTTTATCTGTACCTACTGCAACTGGTGTATGATAAATCATTGACGTTTTTGGCCGTTTAATAATATTGTGTCAACCATACATTTTAATATTTTATGAATATCTTTGTTGTGTTAAGCACTTTATATTATATTCTTAAGCTTTAGTAACGGTAACATTAATCTTTGTACTGATAGTCCATGACATTAAAATATGTGTAGTATTTGAATATTTAAATATAGATATTGGATTTTTAATTATGAATATAATTTAAAACATACATTTTCAAAAATAAAAATTGAAAAATCAACGATATTGTATATTTTGTGAAGTGTTATTTCAAAATTTATATTGTGGGCGTCCAAAAAGCAAGTGAAATGTCTCATACAATTTAATTTTCTTCAATTATCAAAATTATATCTTTAAAAATAGAAGTATTACTGAAACTTGACATTAATTAAATATATAGGTGTACTTAAAAGTTAATAAATACGTCCATAAGAAAGCAGCACATTAATTTAAGCTTTGTAATATTTGTAAATAGAAACATTTCAACAGATTTGTACAATATAATTTCTTCAGTTTTTAAACAAAAAATTAAATATACTGAGGAAGTATATTATAATTTTATGAATATTTTATACATAAAATGTCAGATATTTCAAATAATAAAATTGTGATTATGGCCATTGTGACGAATGGATCAATTTTGTAAAATTAGAGCAATATTTGTAAATACAATAGTCATAATATATTGCATGTCATGAAGAGGACACGATACCCATATGTGTTGTCACCGTTTTACTAATTCATAACATACCAAAATGTAATTCCAGTAGTTCAAATTTACTGTTGGCTTAAATATTGGAGTAAATTGATCTATTATCAAAATTCAGGTAAGAAAACTATCTGTGTTGTCATGATATATTTTAACATTTTTACAATATTTTAATTTTTAAGCAAACAGAGTGTGTAAAATATTCAAGTTTAAATATTCCCTTAACTTGACTAAAAATTAAAACATTGTAAAAAATCCAACAAAACAACACATAATGCTCTTACCTTAATTTTGATAATAGGTCAATTCTCTCTAATATTAAATTTATCAGCAGAAAATTGGAACTGTTGAATGCAAAGTTGCTATGTTCTCCATGTTTAAGACAGAAAAAACACATGATGGTGTCCTTCCACAGAATCCTTTCACTTGTCTCCCAGCATCAAATCTACGGCAAAATATTTTAAATATATCAAAAAGTATTTTATTTTGTATTTTGGTATTTTTTATAGTGCATATTTTTAAATGTTACAACTTATGAGGCGTAGATATAACTAATAACAAATAATTAAAGAACCAATATAATATTATACAGTACATAAGCATCATGTTTTTAAAATTCAAATAATAAATTCAAATGAAAAATAATTCTATAAAAATAATGACTGGAAGAATTTATTAAAAATTAAATTAAAGTTTATACAGAAAAGTTTATGTGGTAGAAAAAAAAACTAACAAAAAAATTATAATAATGTTAACAAAAAAAAAATGATAAATGTTAACAGTCTTTATACATTAAGAACACTTATAAGTTAACATATTTAAGATACAACAATAGCAGTGTTACAGTTAATATTTACAAAATAATGTCCAGTTCATTATGTTAAGATAAAAATTTAAATCTAATCTCACTTTTGTTTCATGTAGTCTTTAATGTCGTGCAATAGGTAACATTGCAGAGCAAGTAATATAACTCCAGGAATTGAGTACATCAACATCTTTGGCCATTCTGAGGTATGCTGTATGTTTGATGTATTTGACGAATGCGATAAGTTCAAAGGACTATTTTGGTGGTGTGGCAGAGCATAATATGTGTACGGAGAAATGGGTTGGTGACACATTGGTGAATACTGAGGTCTAAAACTGTGTTGAGAGTAAATGCTCTGCGTATCAAAATCATAATCGTCTTTCACAGAATACGACGAATAATATCCAGGGGAAGACTCAGCATACCCTGCAAACTTGTCCCGTTTGACAGGCATTAAAAAATTTGGTGGTCGAAGTACATTATTTTTTAAACCACTGTTTTCATTGAGTTTCATCCCTTGAAACAGATTATTGACAGTCTTATTCAATCTCTTGTTACGACTTTTAGGTAACTCATCAATGTGATCAATGTCCATCATTTCTGATTCATCACTGTTTTTACATGATCCGTTTGCACTAAATAAGCAAATTACAAATTAATTAATTGTTAAGTTACTTATTGTTCTAAATTAATAATAAGGTTTTTAACATTTCAAAGATTATTAGGTACATTTTATAAGACTAGGTTTTAAGGTTGACAGATGGACTAACATAAGCCTTATGTTTTACATATTTGAAATGACCATTTTGCCTCAAGCAAAACTATTGAGTTTTTAATACACATATTATAATATGACAGTTATATTAGAAAATAAATCAATATAGCAGTAAGTTAATAAAATTGACAGTTGCACATTTATTTTTTTACTCATATAATTGTCTATACATTTGTATATCATGCGTTCATGAAAACTGGGTATACTCTATACCATAGTTACCTACATTAGTCAGGACCTGATACATAATTTAGAATTCTGTCTAAAGGAGATTGATGATCCAATAATCTAGTTTCATATTTTGGCAAAAGAATTCAAAAATATATATAGGGCACTGAGTAATATGGGTAATTTAATTATACAGTGTACCCTGTTTTCGCGGATACGTATTGTACTGCTCAGTACATTCATCAAACTCTAAAATAATCTACAAATTAGTTACAAAATATGATAATTTATAATAGAGTTAAAAGTCTTCATATATTAATATATTACTTAATTTCATATTTAAATAAAATATACAATGTCATTTCACATGATCTTATAGATAATAAAATCAAAAGACCTTATCATGTAAATTTATCGTTACTATAGTATTCAAGATATAAAAATAAGAATAGTGAAACATACCTCGGAATCAATTATATTTATTACTAAAATAAGTCTTCAATGCATTAACTAGTAACCTATTTGATTTCGACTAATTAATTCAAAGGAAATATATTAACATTAAAAGTGTATTTTTATTATTATAGCTTATATAATATATAAAAAACTAACGAGTCTAGCCATTGAAAAGTTAGCATTTGATATTTTAACTATTTATGATTTAAAACATTATTGATACTGGTTGAGCCAAGAATACATCAACAACTTAAGGTCCATAAGTAAAGGAAGATACAGACATTTGACTTCTAACAGGCAGTAAATAACATACCATTATGTCGAGAGGTCATATATCGTGCGTCTATGTCGTGATCATACTCGTCTCTTGTTGTATACTGAATGGACTTGGGAATGGCTTCAAGAAAGATTTTTTCATTAAGTACACGAGCAACTTTGAATTTTGGGAGGCGCACGATGAACTGATTACTGGACCCAGACAGAAAATGAGTTTCCCGTAATTGTGTTTTTGGTGACATACAATTCTTACTAAAATGATTATTAAATTATAATAAACTGGCAACTTGCTAAATACTAATTGGGGAACTTAAAAAAATTCATAAGTACTAACAAGGTTTGTTTCACTATGTCCTCAAACTTTCTTTTAGGTAGGTGTTAAATATTTTATTTTCTACATAACTAAAAGTTGCATTAAATATTAACATAAAAAATACATACAATTACAGTCAAACCTCTACTTAATAAACTTGATGGTTCATTGAAAAGAATTTGTTAAGTATAAACCGCCTTTTAAAAAAATATTATTTTGTTAACTTAAAAACTTGATCTTATCACACAAAATCAATATAAATAAGTAATATTATGTACCTTAAAAAAAAAATGTTAAGTATCTTTGTTAAATTTAAAGAATTTTCTGATGTGATTCTGAACTATTTTCATAGCATTGAGCAAATATAACATCTTAGATAATACAATATAATAAGGTAAGATTTAAAGGACATACAATTGTATGTGTGGTCAAAATGAGTTAGTATAATTATGGAGTATAGTTATAAATTTAAATTATAACAATGATACAAAATTGGTTAAATAAAAATGTTTATAAATGAAAATTCCATGGTTTCCAAAAATAATTTGTTAAATAGAGGTAAGACATACAACATAAAACACAGAATCCTTATGAATATTACCTTGTATCATAATTATTTGTATTATTAATTCTGTATTTTTCATCCTCCAGTTGAATACTTGTTTGTTCAATTTTTTGTTTTTTTGTCAAATTTCTAAGTATAGATACAGATGATAGTAGTACAATAATAGCAGAAATGAGAAGCTAGAAAATATTTAAAAATAGTAAGTTAATATGAAGATTTTTAAAATATATTTGCTTTTAATTACTTTAAGTTTTAAATGTTCAAAATAATTAAAATTATTGATAACGCATAATGATGACCATAGGAACATAGTTATGGCACTCAATTTGTCCAATGTCCTCAAACAGTGATAAACTTGGCATGATGTACCACCTAGGCTAATCATTCCAATTGAGCGTGTTAGTGTTACAACACTATTTTGGGAAATCAATGGGTCTAAATGTTGAACTGTCCAATCACCCAAATAGTTCTCCACACCAGAAGAGAGTACAAATACAATAAATGATAAAGACAGTGAACATATATTGGGCCAGGCACCAACATCTTGCATACCCTATGATTAAAAACAATATAAATATTGAATAAAAATAAAATTGAAATATAAATCACTTTTTGATTATTATTTATTTTAGATGATCTCAAATTGTAACGTTGTTCTTGCAGTGCTAGTACTTTTTGTGTGTATTGATTGCACTTGGAACATAACTTTAACGTTGCTTCCAAGTTGTCCCTATAAATAATTGCAGGGAAGGATTAAACAAAATTTTATATTTTAGAAAATCTTTTAACATTACTTGAACTTTTCAATTTCTCTATCAAAGTTTCTTTCCTTTGTAGGGATGAAACAAGCTAACTGTTTCACTTTCATTTCTTGTATAATATTGCATTTATGACATAAACCATTTTTACTTTCCTTTACATCTTCTTGGATTACAGAAAAAACAGCTCCGTTATACCTTTGATCATGTTGTTCAGGAATCGATTTACTATAGCTTCCGTCCTGAAAAAAATAAATGTATTTTTATAAGTTTATAAAAATTGATCAAACAAAATTAAAATATAATATCATGTATTGTTGTTGACAAAAAAAAACTTCTTATGTGCCAAATTTATGATTTTGAGGTTTTGGTATTCTTGAATTCAGAAAAAAATAAGCTAATTATTGAAAAAATCTTCTATGTGGTATCTGCATTGTAGAAAAATCCTACTATATGTTACAAACTATAAATTGTTTCTGAAATAACTTATGTGTTTTTTTTTTTTTGCATTGGAGGTTTTTTTGTGTCAACTACGGTATATAAACATAAATACTTATTCAAAACAATACTTGCCTCTTTAAAACCATTAAACTGCCCACATTCAATGCATGAAAATTCAAATCGGTCCTCAAAAGCAACTCTAAAATTGGCATTGCAAAACCAACAGTTTACGTAGATTGGATAAAATTTTCTTACATAAATATAGACATAGTAAAAGAATAGAGTTATTGTTATAGGTGCCAGGACTGAAGGTACTGGTTTTTCATTGATATAATTAAAATAATTTGTGACATAATCTGAAACTAATAACATATATAAAATACACAAATATGTTAGTAATAGGTAAATAATATTAAATTACTATAATTTGTATATTAAATGTGTTTACCGAAAGGAAGAAAAGAATCATTATTATTATTGAAATACTTCTTGAGCAGGTCCATAATATCTAGAAAAAAAATTGTATAATGATATTATTTGTATACCTTTAACTTTTATTCATAATCTTTTAATGTATATATAAATATCATAAAATGAAAAGTTTGATTGATACTTGTTGGACATCCTGTACATGACACCACATGAAAATATATCACAAATAGTCCCATTCATATAATTTACCTTTTTTTTTCTTCTAAAAGTAATGTATTATAATTACAATACTAAGCTAATAATCTTTCAACATACAACACTATTGTCCAACGATAATAAAATATTTCACTATACAAATATTGATTATTTAAGTGGCTAATGTTTTTATAATTCTTTTTATCTCTTAAATAGGTAACATCTAACTAAAAACACAAAATTGTTGAGAAATCCTAAAAAAATAAAATATTTACTGTTTATAGTTATAGAAATAGTAAAGTTCAAATTAGAAAATTACAACAAAATTAAAATTGGATAGTATGAATGTTTCATTTGGAAGGTTTTTACTTTTTATATATATTTAAAAATGTTGGAGAAATACTTGGTTATAGTTAGTGCAATATAATGAATTTGTTTTCAGTACAACTTTTAAAAGACCATTGATGCAAAACATAATTCATCATTATGAGCTTATATACCATAATAAAAGGGGAAGTAGCCCCTCTTTCAATCAAATACATGAATGGAAAATTTCTCTTTTCCTGCTTAGTCATTATTAAGACCAAAATAATAAAACAATGGGCAGAATGTTTTATAATTAGCAACAAGAGTTTGGTATTTAAAATAATGTTTCCATATTAATTATTGTATAATTCACACATTCAAATAATCAGACTATCTAATAATCTGTAATGTAAATTGTTATTAAGTTTAATTATAATATTTGATATTTTAATGACATTTAATTTTAATGGTTATCTAAGAAACATAGAAATAAGTCATATTGGATTATCAAAGTACAACGTAGACAATAATAATATATTGATTGATAATTACATGAGAATCCACTCTCTTATTAGTGACACTTTAAACAGAAAAGGAAATATATATATTTTAGTTTAAAAGATCATAGTAAAAGTTTTTAAAGGCGGCAGGCGGGTTTTTGGACATGGTAACTGCAAAAAAGCTAGGTAAACAAATAATTACCCTAAAAAGTCATTATTAAAATGTTAAGATATATTTTATTGAAACAAAATATTGAGCCAATTTAATACAATTAATAATTATAAGTGGGGAAGCCTGTTCTGGAACCACAAAATATAAAAAATATGGAAATTAAAGATACAAAATACAACTTCCAGCATGTAAAACAACAGATTAGTGTGATCATAATTTTTCTGTCCAACCAGGGATACTATTTTTATTATTTTATATTATTATTGATATCTATTTGTTACAAATTATAAAACGCTTACCTACCTACTACAATAATTAATATGCTACTTCATTTTACTTATAGGTACAATAAGTATAGTACACAAATAAATATTTATATTTAATAGTAAAACAAATAACTTTTGAATACTACTTTCAATGAAACATATGATATTATGATGGATTTATAACATAAAATAATTATTATAATTATTTATAATAATAGATGATTGAAGAATGTTAGAGGTCAATGCGACAAGGCCTCAATAGTGTAAATTGTTAGGTTAAAACCATGGTAATAAAACCATAGGTGGTAATACAACTTTGTTGAGTTTGATAGTTAAACCAATAATAATTGTTGTAACTAATATGAAACATAACTCACATACATATCAATATATCATGTATTTATAGAAGTATAAACAGTATAGCTATAAGATACAAACAAATACAGAACATTCAACTACCAATAGGGCTATTAAATTCTCAAACAATCGTATACACAAATGTTTATGTGTCTATATTAAATTTACACATTCAAGTTTCAAATCGGTTAAATTTAACAAGGAAGTGTGTACAATTAATAATAATAAAAGAACAAAAAGGGTCGGAATGAGTGTCACGAGGGCCAGTAAAATGTGTTTATTCATTACGCTATTCGCAAACAAACATAATCGAATCGACAATTTAAAATTGTATTTAAATAGTAAAAAAAATAATGTATATATGTATGCATTCCTCCAAGCAGAATGAAAGATGAACCAATTACATAATAATACAAGCCGATTATCGATTTTTGGATCTAAATCTAATATAGCAATAACTAATAATAATTGTAATTTGTATTGTAATATTCAGTAAAAACAGATAAAACGAACGCCGTTCGAACTTCGAATAGCTCAATAATTGAGGCGTGTGTAATTGTGTTGGTAACACCATCAGCAGGCGATGACGAGGTGAAGGGTGACCACCATCCACTTTCCCGCCGTAGCACTATGATTATTGATAAAACTTAAAACTACTCCAAAACGCCGATTGACGACCGACTTAACTGAGGAGTGAGGATTACGATTTACGAATTAGTCTAATATTACGATTACATCAAACATAGTATACACTTGAAATTGATAGTTTAACGAACAGTTTCTAAAACGTTCAAACAAAGATTATTGTATCAAAGTAATTAAAGAAAAGTAATTTTTTATACCACATCCCAATTTAATTTAATTTGCTTATTAAATATTTATTAAACATTATTTAAATACATTTTCATTTCAACATGTTACTTAGATCCTCGCAAGGCATTACCAGATCAATCATAATGTGTGCACAACGTTACTCAACAATGTGGCCTACCAAAGCATATGTGAACGGCGAATGGTGTGATGCAAAATCTGGAAAAACTTTTGAAGTTGTCAATCCGGCTACAGGAAAGACTATCGCTACTGTACCAGATCTGGATGCTTCAGATGTACAAGTGGCTATAAATGCAGCAAATGATGCATTTAACACATGGAAAAAGACTACGGCTAAAGAAAGAAGTGATCTATTGAGAAACTGGTACAATATTTTGGTCGAAAATAAAGATTATTTAGCTGACATTGTAACATCAGAGGCTGGAAAACCATTAGCGGAATCATTGGGTGAAGTCGCTTATGGAAATTCATTTGTTGAATGGTTTTCGGAAGAAGCACGGCGAACTTATGGTGAACATGTTCCTAGTCCAAATAAAACTAAAGAAATTTTAATGATTCGTCAACCCCTAGGGCCAGTTGGTCTTATTACACCATGGAACTTTCCAATCGCCATGATAACTAGAAAAGCTGGAGCTGCTTTGGCAGCAGGATGTACATGTGTCATTAAACCGGCAGAAAATACACCAATCACAGCATTGGTTTTGGCAAAGTTTGCAGAAGACGCTGGCATTCCCAAAGGTGTAATTAACATTGTAACTACATCAAGAGAAAATACTCCAGAAATCGGTAAGCTGTTATGTGAAAGTCCCGACATTTACGGAATATCATTTACTGGATCTACTGAGGTTGGAAAATTACTGTACAAACAGTGCAGCAGCACGGTGAAACGTGTTGGATTAGAATTGGGAGGAAATGCACCATTTGTGGTATTCAATGGAGCAGACATCAACAAAGCAGTAGCTGGAGCAATGGCTTCAAAGTTTAGAAATTGTGGGCAGACATGTGTAAGTGCTAATAGATTTATTATTCAAAAAAATGTATTCAAAGAATTTGTTGATAAATTGAAAGTAGAAATGGATAAATTAGTAATGGGCGATGGTAAGACTTGTGGTGTAAACTTGGGACCATTGATTAATTTTGCTCAGGCAGATAAGGTAGAAAGAATTGTAAATGATGCTAAGAATAAAGGAGCAAAAATCATAACTGGTGGAAAACGAGCATTAAATGTTGGTGAATGGTTTTATGAACCAACATTAATCACAGATGTTACCAAAGATATGGCCTGTTACGTAGAAGAGATTTTTGGACCTGTTGCAGTATGCATTGAGTTTGATACAGAAGAAGAAGGATTGGAGATTGCAAATAGTACAAACAGAGGGTTAGCCGGTTACTTTTATTCAAATGATTTATCTCAAGTTTGGAGAGTAGCAAAGGCTCTAGAAGTTGGAATGGTCGGTGTCAATGAAGGTATCATATCAGCTACAGAAGCGGCATTTGGAGGTGTCAAAGAATCTGGTCTTGGAAGGGAAGGTTCTCGCCATGGTATGGATGAATATACAGAAATAAAATATATTTGTTTTGGGAACCTAGAATACTAATTTTTAATTATTATCACATATTATATATTATAATTTATAATATTTAAATATTGTAAGTGAAATAGTACTGAATATTAATAATGTCTTCCATTAAAATAAACGTGTCTTCCAAAAGTAATTTATCATTAAGTTGTTAAAATTGTTTAAAATATATTAATTATAAATGATTCAGATTATCATTGTCTTGGTTTATTTCTCAGAGTAGTGTTATAATAATTATTAATTGAGTTAATGTTATTTGAAAAAAACCATATAGGTAGGCACTAGTTATGTACAGTAACTTAGCAAAATGTTAAATTACCTAGTATGTGGTTAAAAAAAAAACTAGGTAGGATTACTACAGCTGAGTATAGTATTTTGATAATTACAGATACCTATATTGTACTACTACCTAATATATACCTAATATAATATATTTTTATTAAGTACTAAATACAGAAAAATACAATAAACAAGCTGTAGGTAGCCATAAAAACATAAATAACACTTTATAAAATTAACATTTTCTGACTGGATTAAATTATGTACTAAAAATATATTAATGTAACAATACAGAGTTTTTGAATGATCATCGTTTATTTTTAATACCTATATACTTTACTGGACAATTATTTGCTAAATAAAATTAAACCTTTTTAAAATATTATTTAAACAAGTAACATTGTTATAAAACATTTAAGAAAACATAAACAAATATGATTTAGGTACCCATAAAATAATTTTTACATACAATTTGAATTGGTAAATATTTGTTAAGACTAGGTAGTTATCACAATAAGCTAGATACAAAATTAATTAATACTTCCCAATATTGTTTAAACAATGAAATCGAACTACCTAGTTTTCAATTCTTATGTATGAACAAACTATAAAATAGTATAGAAAGTAGGTACTATTCTTAACCTTAGTCTGAACATGTTGCATAACTTATACCTAGGTACGTTATAATAATATTAGGTTGAATAAATAATACCATACCTTGAGTTGAATGGGTCGATGACTGCAATGTTGTGGATGACGGATGTACTCTAGTCTATTACTTCATATTAACGGTTCTTAGCAACTGGTAAGTAAATTAGAAATGGAGCAATTGAAAATTCGAAACTTATAATTACGATCATAAAAGACAGTAAATTTATATTGATATGATTTGGACTTTGGTGTTATCACTTTTGAAACGATCTGTAATCTGATCGTTTAGGTTTAGGTTCGTAAAATAAAAATAAAGTAAATTCAAAAATGCCGAACACGACGAACGTCACAACGACAAACGACTTATTAATATTAATGTATCAATGTCCGTCGTAGGACCTATCGCAGTATCGCATATTCGCATCGTTGTAACGTAACGTAATATTATAATTTGATATTTTAACCAACTTTACGTAGTGAAAAAAATTTTCATACATTTCGACGAAATATTTTACTCCATGATCGTGGGTAATAATCAGTTCATGATATTGTTATTAGTGTACTTGTGAGCCGGCGGTTCATAGGTCAAAATCCATTAAAATTTCAGGGGGGTTGGCCTCCTTTTAATATCAGTTATCAATGTGAGTGAGGGGGAGATTCGATCCCATACAGCTAGAATACTGTACACTTTTCTTGGGAAGAGAGCTATTGGGATATTTTAGCCCCCTTAGTCCCCGGCCTGCTATCTGTGCCTATATGGGTATTTACTATTTACTATTTTATCATATAATTTTACACCGTGGTTTGGTGTTAGTAGTTATTTTAGCTTAAGCTAGTGATTAATCATGAACTCCATAGAATCCATAGACTAATTAACTAAGTATAGCCATAAGTTAAGCTAGAGCACTATAATAGCTATACTATACTTATAGTGCCTTAGTTAAGCCATAAGGTCAATGACTGGAAATTAAAATCACATAATGTTATCACATATTTTATGATAACGAATTATCATCCCGCAAAAACCATGATAGTACAGAATAAGGTATTGGAATTTGGAATATTTATAAATTGTAAACAAAGTTATAATTTTATTTTTCAAATAACATTGTTAATATGTACCTAGGCTATGATAATACATTTATCATGTCCCAAACTGACTATTATTTAGTATTTACCGTAATTAAAAAATTGCAGTTGTCCAATCCTTAGTTTCTTACTTAATCTACAAATTCTTCAAACTGAGTGGCGTCTGACATTAATTTTAAGGTAAATTATGAGAAATTATTACTATTAGTTTAAGAATCAATCATATTTCGTTTAAAATTAGTTGTGTAAGAGGTTATATATTTTAAGTCTTCTTTGAATTTATTAATAGTTACCTACCTACCTATTTCATTTTTAAGTGTATAAAATCTATTTTTATAAATTAAGTAAGTACTTTAGTACTTAATGCCGAGGTTCAATAGAATTTCAGAAAATATTATATTTTTAACTAGATATAGTTTTTAGTTATTATTTTTATGATAATTTATTATAAATTTGATTTATTATGATTTGTGTTCCATATTTGATGTATAGTTAGAAATTGTCTTTATGATAATTAAATATTTATCTCTATCCCTATAATAAAATGTTGATTTAAATTTTAAAATAACAAAACAAAAAAAACAATTCAAGAAGTAAACATTAAAATCATAAACTTACCATCTCTACTACGTTTTTATTGATTTTACTAAAAGCCTTTACCAGCAATAATAATGTAGTTTAAGTTTCTATGGTGATATGTGATAACTTTGATTCAATAAGTCATTTTTTCATAACTGGGTATGTTAAGTTTATAAATTTGATATAAAATACAAATACGTATTTTTAAAGTATTTCCTATTTAAATCTGAAAATATCCATTTTAAATGTTTATTTCCTGTGAACGTAAATAATGTTCTTTTGGTTCAATCGCGATAATCGGAATGCTCGTAATACTAAACTTCCCAAGGTGCAACCCAAATTCATTAATAAACAGCTATCAAATAATCAAAAACGTGTAACATTTTCTGAAAAAAACAAAACTGTTGTATACCCAAGATTTTCACCGGTGAATTTGCCAGCAATCAATTCAAAGTATCCCTACAGAATGCTGGAAAGACAAAGAACATACATTGTTTCAAATCCTGTTTTTGTGAAACCTACAAAATCACCGAAACAACATAAAAAACCAAAGACATTTAGCGATTTTAAAAAGAATTTTAAAAAAAGAAATAAAAATAACAAGGATGAAAATGGAATGATATGGATTGATTTATAAATTATAATAACATTATTGAGAATACTTATATTGTTAGCTGTGAGTAAAATTCAAATTTTAGAAGTATGTATTACATTTTGACATGCCTTCCTGTTTGCTCGTATAATATACCAAATAGATGTGTATTACCTTTGTACATTTCCTTTTAAACCTTTTAAATGTTGGTAGAATTTAACTAGCTTAAGGAATTTGCAATCCTCGGTTTATGTTGCAGTCTTACTCCAATCTATGTACACACATTATTACTACCATATGACCCCATTCTACAACCCTCAAGACATGGTATTAAAAGTATTCCTACAATCTTATAGCAAAAAAATATTTTAATATAGATTATGACCAATATCAAAAATTGTATGTTTATAATTTAACATATTTGAACTCAAATTTAGTGGCTTCATTTCAATGTTTTTAATAATATTAATTTGAATCTAATGCAATCTATTAGTATGTTTGTTCCGGTTGATATACTGTATTAACATTACTTGAAGTTGTTCAATATTGTCTAGTTCATCTCCTATTCTAAATAAAATAGCTCATTTTTGTCTATAGGATTGTCTCTTACCATTTGCTCATCCATTAATATCAAAGTGCATAACAAAAGCGATTTCATTGCTATTTAATTGGATTACAACTTTTTTTGTTGTTTAAGTTTATTTTTACACCTATTCTATACTTTTATTTATGTTTATAGTACATGGTAATAATTATATATTACATTACATTATTAACAGTATTAATACGATATGAATAGTTAACATATTTTATTATAATTTGATCTCTTAGAATGTATCTAATATTATGTTTTGATTAAAGTTATATATCTACTCATCAAGTGTATACATTTAGAATCAAAATTGTTATTGTTTTTTTTTTTAATATATATAAAGTATTATTTTTATGTAATGAATTTAATTTTAATTACGTTCCATTCCCGTAGCGTTAAAATATAGATATTTTTTATTTTAATTTTTATGTAATTAAAAACAGATAATACAAGTTTTATAGTAATAATATATGAAAATAAGTATTAACTATATTAGTAGTATAATTAGTATAAACTATATTATATATTATTGTGTTTCGATATTTTTATAATATTTTGATGAATAATTAAATATAATTAATATTTTAATCTATGCCATATTATATGAGTTAGATGTTAGTTAATTCCAGCTGCAGTACCTATTAAAACTGTTAACTCAGATTGGTCAATAATATTTAACTAATTTTAAAAATAGAGAATTATCATTTTTAATATTCAGTATTTACTAACTTAATCGAAAACATTAAATTACAAATATTGTATTTGTAGAAGTTAATTATAATACACATTTTTATATTGTACTTGGTCATCATGACTTTTATTCAAGCTATCGGTGCATCAATTAACACATATTAACATAATTTATTTTGCTCACAAGGTCAGGTTATGAAATATTTTGGGAGTCTTAAGGAGACTAGAAGTGAGATAATATCCCCTTAGCCCCCCTCCAATTTACATTTACGACTCAAACAGTCTCAAACAATATTTTTTAAAACTAAGGAATTTTCATCATGACTGCCTTATTATTATTATAATGTAAAGATAGTAGATAGTAATTATTATTTTCTGTTTAACTGACAGCAGGGGAGACTGTATGAACAACACTAATCCTCAGCTACCATTGTTAATTTATGCAATCATTTTGATGTGTTTTAATATTCTGTTTAAAAATAAAGTTTTGCATTTTATTGAACCTATTAAAATATAAAATACCTGTTGTTATTGACAGTTGGTTTTGGACTCAGTTTTGGTTTTCTAAATATATGTAATTTTTTAAAAAATTAAAAAATTAAAATTAGATTCAACCAAAAATTACTATAGCTCCAAATTTATTTTTAAGAAAATGGATAAATTTAGATATTTACAAAGTAATCTATATATATGAAATTCTGTCCGTTGGTAACCGCATCACTTGAGAATGTCTAGACCCATTTGGCTTATGCTTTAAAAAAAAACTTTTTAATAGTCTGAATGAGATTTTTACAGAAATAAAGATTGGAATAGTTGCCCATAAAGAGGTGGCTCACACAAAGATTTTGGATTTACGATGGAAATCATACATTTTTTATTGTTTATAAATGGTTGCCATTGGTTACTCAGGTAGATGAGGTTAAGCATTCATCAAATTGTATGGCCTTGAATAAAGACATTATATCTTAAAACAAATATGATAGTTGAATGTTTGTTTGTAGCTTACCTATATACTCAAAATCTAATTAACCAATTTTGTGAATATTTTAAATCATACTTAGAGATATCATTAAAGTTTAGAGTGTAGTTTGAACTACATTTTATTGAAGTGCTATATCTAATCTGCCGCAGGAGAATTGTCCATCTTGGTTAATGTAGTTCACAAATGCTGATTTTTTCATGAACTAAGGTATACTAAAACCAAGATATACCAATATACTAATATAGCACTATATTTTATATTCTTTATTTTCTACGAGTGAATCCGAGTAGTAGTACAGCTAAAAATGGATGTTGGTTTATTCGTAGTTAATAGACTCAAAAAATGCTGAAAAGTTTTCAATAAAAGTTATATCAATATATTCCTTTTTATGGCTTATTATTTCAACCCTTACAGATAGCTACAAGTTAGCTCATATATGCATTTTTTTTAGTTCACACAGAAAGAAAATATTTTTTATGCTTGTTTAAATGAAAATAGGTTACATATCATATACCTAACTATTATAAATTACTATAATTATAAGAAATATGGCATATACATTTTTTTACAAATATATTTATAAAAAAAAACAAATCTTTGGCACGAGCAATGCCAGGTGGGGTAGCTAGTATAATATATAAATAAAAAATAAAAAATAAATAAATAATATATATGTGTATATATATTATTTATTACAGTTGTACATGGATTATTTTTTATTATTAAAATTAAAGTTGTAGTTGAGTTTAAGTGGTAATAATTTATTAGTCAAATTGCTTATAGCTGTTAAGCAGTATTAAGTTATTGATATAATATATTTTGATTTAAAAATATTTCAAATATTTTACTATAATACATAATATTATAGGGCAGAATTAACTCAAAAATTTAAGTTTATTATAAAAAATGTACATTATGATACCTACACATTTAATATTGTATTGTGACATCTTGGCCATTGGATATGTGCATGTTTTTACTTGTGTTTGCTTTTAAATATTTAATTTTTAAAGAGTTTGGTTTTCGCTGTGAAATTTAGATAAATATTTCTTGAATTCTGGCTTTTTATAGTTCTATTTCAATACAATTTTGATTTATCACGACTATTTTATAGAAATTATGAATACTCTTGGTAGTTTAATGAGTATGATACGGGTTTTGTTGTTTAACCCATGGATGATTTTTTACCTGATTCATAGTTGCTCTTTTGTTAACGTCTGGTTCTAAAATAATCCTATAATAAAAACATACTTTGGATAGGTAGGTATACAACAATTACTACTGTTACTATATGTTACCAATTTTTTAAAGTTAAATTATGAATGATGTTAAATTGCAATACAATCATTTTTAAACAATACAAATAAAAAAGTAGATGGTTTATGACTAAAACTTGACAGTGGAAAGCAGTGGTGTATTTAGGAATATGGCATCTCAGATACACAGTTAAGTAGCGTCCCATTACCGATTTCTATAATATAACATATTAAAACTTAGAAGACATCATTTAGAGTCATAGAAACTACGAAAAAAATAATACACTATTGATACCTACTATCCACGTAAGTATGTAACCATCTAGGGTAACTATTTATTATTTTCGAAAACCTGACAACCATTGAAGTGGTTTATATAATTGTATTGAATAACAAACAAATAATATTAGAATTCAAGGCTTTTATTATCCCCCCTCCCCAAAAAAGAAAAGCATATTTATGATTCATAGATTTTCGTTGTAGAGGAAAAATATTGAGTAGCATGTAGCGTGCTACGTTTTTATTGATTTATTCATTAACAATCATTTGTTTATAAAACACAATATGAAAGCGCTTAAGCACTTGAAGACCATATAGTATATTTAAAAATTAATAAATACTCAATCCAGGCATGAAGGATTTTCAAATAATCAAATGGCATAGGTGTAAGAACTGTTTGTCATTTTGATATTTAGTATCAATAAAATTTTTTTTGCTCAGTCAAAAAACTTTTTTTTAAATTTAACACTTAGGTTACGAATTCTCATCGAATAATTTCTTATTTTGTTGTAATACAAAAACGAATAACCGTAGATTCTTGAAATGTTCACCAAATGTTTATTTTATCATGTTCTATATAATATTAATATTATTTTCAAAAATAAAAATTCATCATTTGTGCTATGTATTTTGAACCTCAAGAACCGGCTCCCCTTTATAGGACTTGGAATTTGGGGCTTAAGGAAATTTCCCCCTGAGCTCTCCCTTAAATACACCACTGGTGGCAAGTGTTTAAGGCGTATTGTGGCATTTAACAGTAATAATATTAATAATAATATCAAAATTACGCAATATTTACGAGATAAGTTTCAACGCTTCTCGGGACACGGGTTTTTTGGGCCTGGAGAACTTTTTAGCGATCTGATTCGCCACGATCTGCTGTCGGTTAGAGTGCGGGAATGGCATGGCGTCGGATAGCATTACGTACAGCACAACTCCTAGTGCCCACATGTCGTAAGAAATCGGGTCGTACGGTATGCCCTTAAAAACAAAAACAAAAATTTTTTTAATTTAAAAAAAGTAATTTGTGTGACTGTGAAGAGTAGATTGGGCCACAATATTTTTAATATTATCACGTCTGGTTCATATCCACTTCGCGGATTTCGACCAATATTTTAGTATAAGTAATTACTAATTACTTAAAGTACGCGTTTTCTTACTTTTCCCTACAATTTTTCTAATAAAAATATAATATGTATTTATTATTTTGTAAATGGTAAAATAAATAGGTTTTGTAAAGTATTTAAATCGTGTTGTAGTGTGTTAATTTCTGGTAAAAGTACAAAAGTACGAAGACAATGCACATATACAATCCATATAAATATACCATGTACTGTAGTTCGGTATAATATGTGAGTTGATTATGATTTATGAGCTAATTATGAATCACTCATTTGTGGCACTTGACTTGATAATTATAAGCTGAATTAAATCATAAGATTACTTCCCTACCTTATATTTATTCTTTGAAGGAAATTTCCAAGGAGTGAAAAGACGTGTAAATTATTAATAAGGGGACTATGGTGGTTTAGAGCAGTATAGAAGCAATGATGAGTGTTGTGAAAGACCGTTATTAAGGCCTTAAAGGGTATACGATTGGAGATATTCAGATGTATATGACTATATGGGGGGTTTGTGATTTTTCGTTGTATAATGGTATGAAAAATTGGATTATGACTAGCGAATTTGGTTTAGACAATGGATTAATTAGTTACCTTATTAATATAAATAATTTTTTTTTCCAAATTAACTATATTCTTATATATTTAGTATAAGGTTTATGATGAGAACCAGATCGAGTATGAGTAGGTGGGTAGGTGGCTTTACCAGTAAAAGCCTAGAACCATAGAAATCCCCACATTTTTCCATAGGACTTTTGAACCACCTCACCCACAATCTCTTTAGCTAAAGACCATAAATTGTCTAAATAGGATCTTAACATCTTTGTAAATAAATTATAATAAATTCAAAATTATTTCTTGTTAATATTCCAAATTTTACTCCATTATACGATAATTTCTACAATGACTAGGGGTAATGTTCATAGTTGTTTTGAATAATATGCACATTTGGGTTACTTTGTGTCAATTGAATAATGAACTATAAAAACGACAACATCTTTTCTACATGATATAGATAGTATTATTTATACCTACAAACAAAATACTATCTGTAAAGACTAGATGCTACACTTAGACTATCAAGGTGTTTACTATTATCGAATTTACTGTTAAAGTTGGTAAAAGTCATTCAATGTAAGGCGATAGCAATTCCCAAAACGACCTACTTTACTGTATATATATTATGGAAATCCTATAAGTTATAACTAAAGTCCTCATGCCTTCATATCCACGTGTCAAAAGAGGATTCCGAGTTGTGCGGAAGACTACTGATCTATAGGACAATAGGCCCTGGGGTAAATCCCCCCCCCCCCCCGAGTGATTAATTAATGCACTCAATAATTCACTCGGCAACATATTACACGCACTTGTAGAACTTCGGGTGCAGCATATGACGAACTGCCGCAGTACGTCTGGCTCATCAATCTCCGGCCTCTCTCGTCCGCGCACAACCTGGCGAACCCGAAATCGGTCAATTTTACAGTCCGCATGCTTTCCAATAGAACGTTTTCGCATTTTATGTCCCGGTGCGAGATGTTTTTTCGGTGCAGATAGTCCACGGCCTCGCATATCTGCCTGTGGTGACCATGGCACGTATGATCGTGAAAAAATCGAGAGCACATAACATAATAATGTATCACTATCATATAGGTACAGGAGGCGGTACTTAAACCGTAACCTCTAGTGAAGTGTCAGTGTAAATTGAAAAATATATAATAATGTGTGTATGCGTCGTAATTTTAACCCCCGATCTAATTCTTGGAGCTCAATACGGTTGTTTTTTATTCGATTCCGTTGTAAAAATACTGTTTTTTTTTTAGTTAATATATCATTTAATAAAAGTTGACTAAGTGAACTCTTTATCAAAATTTATATCGGATAATGTTTTCATCTGTATCGATGCCGCGAGAGAGATGTACAAGTATGTGGGGTGACATCTGCCTCGGCCTATAATCACTGTTATTTAGTGAATTAAAAAAAACATATATGATGTTATAAAGCTTATAATAAATTACACCTGTAAAAAAAAATTGGAAAATTGCAATAAATTTAAACTTTATTCATTGAATTTATCAACATAACAAAATTTACGAGATGTTAAAATATATATTCAATTTTACTTTTGAGGAAAACTAGTCAATAGTGAAATTATAATTATGCTCCATAATTAAAAATATAATCATCCACGCTATACCATTTTGTTCAGCTTTATATTTAAGAAGTATGATATATTTATTGAATTATTATATTATTTATTGACCACCTATATATAGGTTTTGACAAATTTAATAAATATTAAATTATTGATAATCTTTATGAACTTTTATGATCGGTTGATCGTAGTTGTTTTTCCCAACTCTGCCTAAAGTGAATATGCTGACTGATATTTAGGTAGTATCTATATTTATTAATATAGGTGAAGGGTTATTTATGTATATTAATATACGATGTGCGCAGTGCACTCATTTGGAAAAGCATTAGGTGTACATTTTCTTGTAAGATACTATATGCAAATGTATGCATTATTGTTTTTCATATTATTATATTTGTTCAGTGAACTCACTATCAACTTAAATTTTAAATTACTATCTAAAAGTTTATACGCTCAAAACACCGAGCCAGTCATGTTATCTATCTATACTATGATGAGTGTTTAAACTTTTAAACTTTTTGTTAGAGTTGGTTAGCAGAGTAAGTAAGCGGTAGGCCGTGAAATCTGTAGTCTCTTTATGTACTCAGTTTGTCAAAACTCAAAAATTCTAATTAATAAAATAAAATAAAAAATAAGTCCATCCAGTAGTATTTGATACGCTGTCGAAAGTCGATATGACGATGCATTCTAAGTATCAAACACATTTCGAAATAACAAAATAATAATAATAAAAATAATAATTTAAATATAAATGTTGGAAAAATCAAACGAATGAGGCGGCAAACGCTCTCGGAAACGACACTGACCTGAAGAACGTGTGCGCTTGCCACTGCGGTATGGACTTGACGTGTTGCAAGTGGCTGAGCAGGTCGCCAATCTCGCAGTAGTCCATGAACACGTGCACAGTGTATGGCGTCACGTATATCCGGTGCGTTCTGACCACGTTCGGGTGCCGGACCGTGCGCAACACTTCCAGTTCCCGGGGCAAGAACTTTCGCACGTACGACGAAGTGCCAGCGTCGCGCCGCTTGTTGATCACCTTGCACGCCACCCGAACCATGGACGACGACGACGTCGTTACCGGCACCGTCCGAAACGCTATCCGGACTTTACTGTACGACCCGTGGCCGACGGTTGAGCCCAACCGGTAACCGTCCGCGGTTAGCGCCGCCGACAGCGCTTCCTCATTGTCGAGATGTACGATTCGCGGACGGTGTTTCGGCGGCGACGGCGGCGGGGGCTGTGTAAGAAGAACAGGATTAGGCGATACTTCCGCGAGAGCAGCGGCGGGGGGGCGTCGGCTGCACTGTTGCGGGAGACGTCGCTGTTGCTGGTCCGGCAGGAGACGCTGGTGTTGCTCCAATAGCCGCTGCTGCTGGTGGTGCTGCTGATGGCGCTGTTGCTGGTGGTGCAGGTACTGGTGGTGACCGTTCATGGAACTTCCGGGCCGGTTTCAATGGTATCCGGTAGCCGCCAAAATGTTTATTGTATTACCTATACTATATGAAGAACACGTTATAATAGACGTTATCGTATCGTTCTGGCTTTTCCCCTTTGATTTCGCCGCGTTCTCGACTTTTGTTTAAAATATGACGTGGCGGACGCAATATATAATAATATATACGTCGATTTTTTTTATTTTCAATTTTTAATTTTTTAAAAAAAAATCACCGAGCATACTAAAAAAATGGAGTACGCTGACGACGATAGTAAAATCTTTTTGTGTTTGGAAAAACGAGTCTGCGTTGCTATACAAGCAAAACTTTCACGCCTTCATTCCGTATACAGTGTATTATGTACTATATTATTGTGTTTTCTATAGGTTCACCTACTTATATTATGTTATACTCAAACTTTTAAGATTAAGATGTGTATGGGCACACGTTTGAGCACACAACCCAATAAATATGTATTTATATTTTGAAAATACCTATGTGTACGTTCAATTCCGAGACAAAATATTTGTCAGATCGTTTTGATAAGTCTATAGACTTATAGTAGCGGCCTAAAATATTCTTACATTTAACTTGATTATTTGGAAGACAATATAAGGTTTTTTGTACTGAATAGTTACCTATGTTTCGATATTTTAGTGTCATATTTATCTGTCCTCGAAGAATAAGTAACCGTTACTTAACGATATAGTGACATGTGTAGGTAGGTACTGTGTAACCGAGTTCCAAATCGAAATAATTCATTTATTGTCAATCATCGCATAAATTGGAGCCAAGTGCATGAGTCAACTTATGGGGCTCAAGTTTATTCATCAAAAGTTTAGTGTACCTATATGTTTATCAAAACATCCCCTGATCAAAAATGTTCTAAAGTTTAAACCATGGAGTAATATTACTCTATGGTTTATAGTATAAACTTTATACTAATCTAGAGGAATAATATTTTAATAATTCTTTTACGGTCAATAGTATAGTTACGGTAATAGTACCTACCGTTCAGCATCGTTGAAAATGTTAATACCGCAGTAACTATGACTGATATTTTTATAGTAAAGTCACAAAATATGTTGTATAAACACAACAGGTAAAATAATCATTATTATTTACTGCCAATTAAATATTTATTTTGAACGGCTGATTAGGAAAAAAAATAATATATTTGTAAAACTAGGTGTTTTATGTGTTTGTCGTATATGGAAATAGATTGCTTTTACATTATTGGAACCAAATGTACTTGTATAGTGTGCATATTAATTGCACTTGTGGAAATCTGGGCTTTTGTATTATGTGGGTGAAATAGGTACGTCGTAAACTCGTAGCAGCAATTTTTCGTAACAACTTTTGAGCAATAATTATTAGTTGCGAGGAGTGAGCCCAACCGAGTATACATTTTGTAAACTTTGTTGTCAGATACAAAGCGTTTTAATTTGATTTTACATTTTTGGCTTGATGTGTACTTATAGGATAGTCATGCATTTTATTTGTTTCAGGGTTTTCTGGGAAACTAATTTCATAAAGTAATCATCTAGAAGTTCATTGCGTGTTGCACCGTGCTACACGATGTCGCAAAACGATGATAAAGTCAACAATGACGATAATTCAGTTGCTGTTAATGCAGTTGTGAACTCCGGTGACTCCAGCACGGTGAGTGTATTTATATATATTATTAGACTTACATATTTTTGTATTAATTTAAATTGTGTTGTTTGATATTTACTTTGTACATTTATTGTATAGATGAATAATCCAAACACAAAAACAACTAACATGGTGAAAAGTACTTCCAAGAATTCGGAAAAAAATATGATGGTAGTAAGTATATACATTTTGTATACCATAGCTGTAATGTTTTTGATCGTCCTTATAATATTATTTTATATTCAGCCGAACAATTCAAAAGTGCTTGAACCTATACCTACAGTCCGAAAAAATGTGGTAATATGCTATAGAATTTAACAAAAATGTTCTAAGTTATTATTAATAAACATATTGTGGTCTTTTAGGTAGCAAAAGCAATAGAATTTTTGGTACTCGAATCGGTACAAAAAATGCCTGCTGAAAGAAAAATTCAATTCTTAATTAAAAAAGGATTAACTGATGTTGAGATCCAGTATTCAATTCAGAGAGCAGCAATGATCTGTTATGATAATCAAAGTCTTAATAAACAAAATGTTGGACTTTCTATGAGCCATAATTAATGACATTCATAATTTAATTAACTTAACTCAAATTGTTTTTGTATAGCCACCTCCTGTTCATTACAATTCATCGAATGCTTCTGGTGCTATACAAACATCATTTGAATCACAGAGCTGGTACAGTCGTCTTTTTGGACCAATAGCTTTTGCTGCTGCAATTGTATACATTGGCTATAAGTTGTATAAAGTATGTACAAATCCTATAAATATTTAAACCCTATTAAATATATCGTCTTTTTTTTTTAGAAATACATAGAAAACTGGCTCTTTGGGACTCAAAAACTTCCATTGGAAAATCGCTTGGAAGCATTAGAGTTGTCAGTCCAAAGGTGTATAATGATGTTAGAAGAAAAAGACAATTTACTCAAAGCATCAAATGCAAATATTGATTTGCAAAAAGAATTCAATGGTCAAGTTCGTGCTGAACTGAAGTCTATTAAAAGTTTACTTCTCAATAGGTATTTATTGAAACGTGGTTAATTTATTTTGATATATAAAATTATTTTTATGGTTTAGATTCCAATTTCCTCCAGCTCCTGCATCTTCCAGCATACCCCAATGGCAGCTATTAAAAAATACCAAATCACAAGTTGAACAACAAGATAAAATCAACAGCAGTGACGTACCAAATTCATTACAAACAAGTGAAAAGATTATACTTAATGACATTCAAAAAAGTTCAACAGTTGATTTGCAATTAAATGGTGTTATTAGCAGTGATAACGATAAGGATTGCATAATAATTAACTCTACGTCTGAAACACCATTACCAACAAGTTCTAACCAAAATTGTATTATACCTAAAGATGTAAATGGTGTAAATAATAGTGAACATATTGAGAATAATGAAGGTATACATCATTGACCAGAAATTTTTGAATGCGAAAAATATATTTTTCAACTTTCAACTATGAAAATCATATAAATCAGATCATAAAAAAAAGATTTTTGATATCTGTGAATTTTTTAATATTAGTCTTAATTCTTATAATTATGTGTATTTGAGATCTAAATAACAATAAAATAACTTTTCTCTGTATTTTTTGGTGATTGAAATTTTGAATTAATTTTGTTTTTCTTTACATTCAAAATATAATAAATCAAATGATAGATTTTATATTAATTTTATTTTTTATTTATTGATCGAGTAATCAATATAGTAATAATTATGTTATGATAAAAAAATCAAATTAAATGAACAGTTTATTTTTACTAAACACGTTATTATTATATTGTTGAGTATTAAATACAAAATAAAAATTGATTTACCTATGAAAATATTATTTTTAATTATTTTTAATATATTTAATTTTCAATTTTCACATACTCAAAAATGGAAAATTGTATAACATTGGTACATTAAAAATAATAAAATAATATATGTAAGAATACATTTTTAAACTAAAGTTTAGTAATAAAAGTATGTGAAAAATTGTATTGTTATGATGAGTAAGTAAATAGTAATTTACCATTATTAATAATATTATTCTACAATTCATTAAAAATATGTTGAAACTTAAAAATTGTATTATTCACTAATAATTATTACCTTCTTCATTTTTCAGTGCTCCATTATTTATGCAAAATATAGTATCTAAATAAGATTTCCGCATAAAAACTTAAAATTGTTTATATTGAGAACAAATTTTTTGGTCAGATTTAGTTTTTGTGAAATTACAATGAAAAAACTTTAAAACATCCATCTAATTTTAGAAATTAACTAAGAAGTTGTTGCATAATTTTTGAATGAAATAGCCTAATTTGAAATAGTTTCAATTAAAATAATGGTATAATGTAATTCAAACAATTGACTTTTTATTTTTTATTCTCTATAATTAAAGAATTAGTTTTAAATTTTAATTAGTTTAACGTATCTGTGGTGTTTTTTTTATAAATTCTTGGTATCTGATTTGGTTGTGAAAAAATATTTTGGGATTAGTTAAAAAACTATTGTTGGTTAAGAACCAAAACTGATTGATGTAAATAGTAGATAGTATGTAGTTAAATTAAATCAAACTTATTTAAGTAGGTGTTCTTTTACCGAATGCCTAGTTGTTTTTTTTGTTTTAATTTTATTAAAAAAAAAAACATTATTTCCATAAAATAATTTTGTTAATTGCTAGATATATTATTTGACATACATATTTGTAACAAATATAATTCACATTTCATATCCATTGGGTTTGGATTTTGAATGTTATCCTTTTAATTTTTAATATTACTATTCATAGAGTAATTAATTCACAATTTTGTAAGTCATTATATTGTAACAATTCGTTTTGATATATATATTGTATATATAATAAAATAAAAAAAAAACAGTAAAATTCTTCAAATATTAATTTTTAAAGCCATAATATGAAGAAGTTATGATCTAATGTCAATACTATAATTATATACATGATTCGCACTACTTTTACTATGAAGTCAGTAACGCGTGAGATTAGAAAACTTGAACCCTATGATTCTCTCGGTCGCAGACTAATATATTTCCATTGGACATGACAGCGATGCCTTCAAGTCCTTTGAACTCTCCATCACCAGATCCCCAGCAACCGAAAGCCCTCAAAAACGTTGAGTCAGGATGAAAAATTTGTATACGATTGTTACCGGAATCTGCCACCAGTATGTATCCTTGGTCGTCTACAGCTACACCCCTGAAAAGTTATAATTAATAATTATTAAAGTGAAATCATACTAAACTTTTTACTGATTACTGAACGGTTTAATTCTGGAAAAAATATATTGTAAATAGTAAGTACCTACCTATAATTTTCTGTTTGATTACATTAGACATTTTATTTTTATAATATAATATGGGTTAATTAGGTATTTTATAATTGTAATAATTTAATTTTTTGATATAAAAATGGATTAAGATGAAGTCTACAACTATCATATCTAATAAGTTATTAGTAATAACAATTATTGTAATTTGTGGTGGCTGGGCAAGCACGCAAAGTTGTCGATAAGAGTGGTGTTCTGAGTGAATGCTATAGTTAAATGGATGATATACCTAAGTATTGTGCTTTATTGTTATTTGTTATACAAATTATTTTTCGATATTGGTTGAAAGTTAAATTGCATATACTGCATTAGGTTTGTAGGTAATAGGTAGTTATGATTTATGTTAATAATATTTTAGATTTACTAATTTATGATTTAAAAATGGGTTTAACACCGAGTGAGTAGAAACTATGTATCTACCTACCTAGTGGTAGCTAGTGATATCTACCTAAAAGATACCTACAACCTACACATACATTCAGATTCAGTGTGTACAATCTAGTTGTTCAAATTGTTCAATACCTATAATAGAAAATACTACAATGTTAGTAGTATTATACCCATAGTCTGTACTCACTACTCTATAATAATTAATAAAAGTATTACTATGGTAGTAGTTTATATTAGGTAGGTACTTGTATAACAACTAACAAGTATAGGTAATTTACTTATATGGGACTAGGTTAGTGTACCTAAACAATAATTAATAGGAGGAGAAGTGTTACTTACTTGGGGAATTTAAATTGGCCATTTTCTGATCCTTCTGTGCCAAATGAACTGATCACTCTTCCATTAACATCAAAAATTTGAATACGGTGGTTGTTGCAGTCAGAAACGATTACTCTGTTTGTATTCGATACTGCAATGTAATGTGGATGTTCCAGTTGTCCGATTTTATTCCCGTTCGATCCAAATTTACCTACAAATGTTCCATCTGATTGGAACACCTGTTGAATAAAATTACATTTTATTATGATCGTATGTAGAATACCTGAATACTGATAGTAATGATTTCTTGTTACAAAACTGGACTAAAATATATAATAACTATTTTAGTTTTACTCTAATATTAATTATTAATTATCACAATATTAAAACCTTTTTACCTAATCTTTAATAAAGAAAACAACTAGGTAAGAATTTTGTGAACGATTCTATTACCAACATATATTTAAGTTTAACTAATTAGTATTTAGTTGGGTAGGTACCTACCTACTTAATTAACACTGTTGAGCAAGAAAAAAAGTTTACTTTAAAATGTTACTTTGTTAGATAACTAAGTTTTTATAACTTAGAGTAAAAAAATGTAGTATAAATACTCGTGTAGGTACCTTTGTTACTTAACACTTATTATTAGTAATGTGTTAAAAGTTACCGACTTTTTTTTAGAAATGTTTTACTTATTAAACATTTAAACCTAGCTATGATTATTTTTGATAGTTATTATAGACTTATGTATATGTAGGAGGTACCTATATGTACGTTCTTGGTTAGAAATTATTCGTATCTATAGATGGTGAAAACAGTTTCTAAGCCGCCGCTATTGTCGAGGAGGCAATTTGTTAGATTTTACGTAAATATAGAACAAACATTAATTAAGTTTAATACCATACAATTATATAGTTGTAAGAACTGAATTATCTAATAATTACCTAAACAGTAAAAAAGAAAAAAAACTAATTTCAAATATTTAGATTTATTATGAATTCATAAATGTGTAAAGTGCATGTATATTATCACCTATTCGGGCATGCGATTTCCTAGTAAAAATGGTAATTCAATAAAACGGATCATCTGTTAGCATTTTCCAATGAAGTTTTTTCATTTTTTGTTTACCTGGATTCTGTGATTTTCTTTGTCGCAAACGTATATGAACCCAAGGGCATCGGTAGTAATTCCCCAAGGATAATTGAACCGACCGTCACTAGAACCTTGACTTCCGAACGACCTTAAAAATCTTCCAGACGGGTCTAACACCTATAACCAATGAATAATCAAGTTTTTATTAATAATTATGATAATTTCGATTTCGATCATTAAAATTACCTGTATTCTGTGGTTGTACCGATCTGCAATGATATATTGGCCAATACGATTGACGGCCACTCCGGCCAAACAGTCGAATTCACCTTCACTATTTCCATATGACCCAAAGTCTTTAAATATTTTCCCACTGTTATCAAATACCTGTGTACGTAAAATTTCCTCTTGAATTCGGTTTTTATTTTATTTATTATCAAGTAATAATTGGTATATTCGTACTTGGATTCTGTGGTTTGAAGAATCGGCCACAACAATTAGATTGTCTGGACCAACAGCCACGCCTCTGGGCCATGTAAAATATCCGGGCTCGCTCCCCCTACCTCCGATTTTAAATAACAACTGTCGTTTTTGTAGGTATTGAACTCTAGGGGTAGAACCTACGCCCTGCATACCTAAAATAGACACGATAATTCAATATTTAATTTTATAAAATGATTTTAGATTGTTCATTATAATATTGTTTTCTTAAATAAATAGGTACTCCGACGCTATTGATAATAATAATAATATGTATTGATATTACTATGAATTATTATGACACACCTGCTTCGATAATTGTATGGGAGGTGGGGGAGCTGTGCATGTTTTTTTGGTCGTCATCTGAACTGTCAACGTGAGTGGAATTGGAACGTAGTGGTAATCCTAGCGAAAGTCGCCGAGAAGACGAGCTTGACGCTGAACTGGCAGCCGCGTTATCTTTGGCTGCATTTTCTTTACCTCGATTTCCGTATTTGTTTTTGAGATACCTAGCCCATGAGCTTAAAGCCGCGCCGTCTTTTTCTCCTGTTCCTGCTAGCATAGTAAAAACGGTTTGTCGTAAAAAATAAAAAGTATCCATTTTCTCTACGTTAATAATTGTATGTGAATGTGTTATTGATTTCTGAAGGGATCATGGTTCATAATTTTCTATGGCTCTCTAATGATTTTCAAGTAACGCTCTACTAAAATATCCATAGTATAGACTAATGTTCTAGTTGAGGCATGAGTTAGGTATGTATTCTACATCATTGTGTATATTAGGATTGTTACACCATATGTAGGTACATTATATTATTATATTTATAGTAGGACTACGTTGCGATTAGCATGATTAACAGCTATCACGCATGTCTTATGTGTGTATGTTTGTTGTTCGGTCAGTAATACCTGA